ACTTAAAAATGATTAAACTACATATCATGTGATTTGATTTTTAAAATTTTAGAACATTTATTCATAAAAAAATATTAATAGTACATAGTTTGATTTTGAATTTTTTAGTGCGTCCATTTATCAAAAAAAAAATTTACTTATATAATTCTTGGACATCCTTCGTGAAATTTCTAGCTACGCCACTGACTCTAAGTACGAGAGAAAGTCAGTCAGGTGTTTCCTAACAATATTCTTAAAACCAATAAAGAAATGTTAGAAGTATTATTAGACTAAAAAGTGGGAAAAAAAATGATTCATTTTTCATACGTTAGAGATATTTTTTTTTATCCTTTTTCCCATAGTAATAAAGATCATAGGGAAATGAGGAGGAAAAAAAATGGAAAGGGGTGGTGTGAAATCCTGTGCCATAAACAAACAGTAGCAGACATGGTAGCAGGATCTTGTGAGTTATCCTCAACTGATAAGTTGGCCATGAATGGTTGCTTTCCATTATTTGTCTACTCTTGGTGTACGTAAGCTCTAACGAATGTGAAATAGACATAACGAGCAGAAAACCCACCCACCCCTTCCCCATTCAATGCTTTGATAAAATTAATTTCGTGGAACTAGTGACGGAGTCAAGAATTTTCACTAAGAGGTTCGAAATATAAAAAGTAAACACACAAGATGTTCAACATCTGTTATATATATACCTAAAACATAATATTAACTATGTATAATTAGTCGGATAAACCCTATCGATTCTTGCTAGTTCCGCCCCTGTGTGGGGCAACCAAATTTTTTTATTTCCTGGACTACTCTTCTCATTTCCACATGCATTTACAAGTAGGGTATATATGTAACTACAATTATTTTCTTTTGTTTTCTTTCTATTTTTGAAAGAAGTAAAAAGGTGTTTTCTTTTTCCATTATAGGCCAGTGATATGGTTAGGCCTTAACTAACAAATTTAAAACATAGAAAAGTAAATATATTGGGGGGAAATATCTACTGGAGTATCAAATGAACATGTTGAGTTCAATTTAAACGAATTTAAAATGAATTGAGTTAATAGAAGTTAACTATTAAAAATATACGTGATGAAATGAAATGGGTTAAAATGGACTAATTTATGGATTATAGCCCAACATGTTCAACTCTAATCAAGATTTCATATATTTATTTTCTTATAATATTTTAATTACCTAATAAAATAATTTTACTTTATTATAATTATATATAACATATATGAAACAAAAAATATTCTTTAAAGTATGTTAACAAAGTTTTTCATGGGTTAATCTAAACTATATTAGGCAATTTAAAATAGGCTGAGTTAATAAATAAGTAAGTAATATTTTCATGGGTATTTAGACACTTGTAAATTCAACAAATAATAATGTGTGTGTATATATATATATATATATATATTAGAATATTAGAGGGGATCAATTTTCCAAACTAAGAGAATACACTTTGTACAGCATAATAATGTAAATAGAAAATGAACCTCATAAGCTTTAGTGACAACGATGTATGCAGGTATGTCATGCACAATCATGGATGTATTTTGTATGGTGAGCCTCAACTCTCAAATATTGTCTAACCAAGATTCAATCTTGACTATAGCAACAAACTTTTATATTTCTTCTCCTATAAATCTTTGAAGTTTTTATACCTCCCTTAAAACACACTCTTAATCATTAAGGGCTAGCTTGATGTAAATAATAAGGGATAACTAATTACAGAATTAATTTTAGGATGAGTTTATAACATATTTGATTGGGAGAAAATCATCGGATGGGATAATATTTTTTAAATAGTTAATCTCGAGATAACTTGTTTACGATCAAACATGCCTGAGTATTTGTCTAAACTATTCTTCACTTTTTTTAAAACGTCTCACTTAATTAACACTCTACGGTGAGGGAAAAAGAAGTTATATAGAGGGGAAAAACATTGAGGTGTGGTTGTTGGGGGCCTTGGGGCCTAAGGGCATCTCCAACCCAAACACCAAACTTTACACTAAAATTGGCGTCAGCACTATTTTTTATGTAATCAACTTCAACCCACTGCATCAAATTTTACACCAAAAAAGGAATATTTTTTCTCTCTCTTCATTATTATATTATTATTTCTTATTTCATTTATATTTTCTTATTTCATAAAACAATTCTTTCTAAAACATTCACCATATATAATTCATATTATTTTCTTTTATAATCGTTTAATATAAAGTTATTTTGTACCATAATTTTTTAAATAATATAAATTGCTAGCAAATATTATACATTATACATAATAATGGATAATACAAATAAAAGTGAAATCATTAATGAAATACAATTAAATAAACATTACATAATTGAAAAATTATTTTAAATTCTACATAAATATTCAACTTTCAAAATCACTACGGTGCTCCCATAAATGTTCTATTAATGTATTACGTAGTTCAAAATGAGCTTCTTTATCCTTTATTTTTTTATATCGAGCTAGAAATTTTTGAAATTGATAATTTTCATCTATTGTCATTTCTGCGGTCAGAGTTGGACCTTCTGAAGCTAAATTTTATATCTAAAATTAATATTATAAAAATATTACATAAAAAATAATTAAATATACAAGAGATTTAATTAAAACATACAATTTATATAATGTTTAATTAAAAGTTTGTATAATGAAATAATATTATAATATTTAAAAAGTGAATTGGTGTGATGAATAGTGTTACATTATTCACGTACCAAATTTGGTGTAAAAATTAGTGTGGATTGGAGCTCAAAACACCAAATTTAGGATTTGGTGTAAAATTTAGTGTTGGATTGGAGATGGTGTAAGGCTTAAAGTCTGTCCCATGTCCTGCAGCTAAATAGATCTTTGGGTTTTGGGAGTAAAGATTTTAGCATTCAATGTTTGTGTAAAAAATATTGGGTATATCACATCAATACCAAACACTTTAAAGAGGGCCACAAAATATTTAACCAAGTGATGTGTTGTCTCTTTATGTACAGTATTGGTGGGTGCTAAAGAAGTACAGGTCCTTTTTGGAGTGGAGTTTATAAGATAGATCATATCATGTATATTGTCCTGCTCCAACAACATCACTATTTTCTCCAACAGCCTTTTTTCCATTGTCTTTATGCACTTGGGGTCCCTCCTTTGCAATCATATACCTTTCATCTATCATAACTTCATTATCTCTTCTTCTATTATTTATATATTGCTTCAAATAAAAATGTAGAGGTCATTATTCATATTTTGACATTTTAAGTTAGTAGAGTATCAATACTGAATACTGATTAGCAAAGGGCTAAAGAAACTTTCTGTTTATGAGTTGGTATGTATTAACAGGTAATGGGGTTAAGCTTTTACATAAATAATGTTTTAGACAACAATTAATTTGATGAAAATTCATGTTGTTTGGCTGTATTAGCAAATCATTTTGTCTTACAAAAATTATGTTCTTCTCCACATCTAGTCTCTTGAAAAAAGTAATATATTGATATGATTTGACTAATTGGTCTATGAGAAAACTAATATTAGTACCTACTTGTGAATGTTATTGTATTATGGTACTAGAAGAAATAATCTTCTATTTATAAAGGTCCAAAACTTCTCAAAAAAGGATAGAAATGTCATTTTCCACCAAGAAAACCTTTTGAATTAAAACACAATTGGGTAAAATCCAAATAAGTTAGGAAATTCAAGGTAAACCCTAACAAAGTCTTTCCACTAAAAGACCAAGCCAAAACCACTTCTCTCATTGGTTAAATTGCAATTTTGGAATCCAATTTCCAATGGAGTGAGAGGTTTTGATAAGGCAATTAGTTGATGATGGATCTAAGATGCAGAAAAAGTCTTTTTTATTATTAAAAAAAAAAAAAAACTTTCACAGCTGGTGACAAAGAGAATAGAGAGACTTAAAGTGAATGCAAACACTAATGCTAGGTAGACAAGCTTACATTGGGTGTTTTGTTCATTTGTTACTTTGATTTAGACCTTTTGGCATGTGTCCTATCTACCAAGCATGTGCTTATATTTTGACCCAAAGCTTGAGGCTTTGATTCTACACAACCTTTCTTTTCTAATAATTCTCAACACCCTTTTATTTTAACAATGATATGATGTGTCTATGAATCCTTGCACATGAGTTAGTGACATGATACTTAGCAACTCATTATTAATGGATTTTCTTGACTTTTGGCCAGCTAAAAGGGTGGCACATAAACTAGTGAGACTCCTAGATGGAGACAACTTAGGGGGAAAAGGGTTCCACAATACACAATCCAAATATCTATAGATTGTGATTTTGTATAAAAATTTCTACCACAAAAGCCATGCATTAAAGTGAGGGATCACTCCAACCATCCCCATCAAGATCCTAAACTTGCTCTTTGCACACATGCAACTAGTTACAATCATTTCTCGTTTCTTTTTCTCTTCTTTTAACTACAAGAAAAAAAAATGCAGATTACCCTCAACTGTCTAGAGGAAAAGAAACATATATAAAATTTGTTTAAATTCACATATAGAAAGGTATTGAGTTTACATATTGACTAAAAATTAGAAGAGGTATAAGCCATATATATGATCCCTAATGTGGTTAAGAGTAAAACAACTTGCTTCTCTAAAGGTCTTCTTCTTAGTCCCAACCCTGCATATAAATCAAAACTCTACCACAATATGAATTCCAACCAAATATCTTTTGACACACTACCTACCACAAGGTCACCAAAATCAATAAAAACAAAGGTTAATTTTAGCCATAATAACATTACATAACAACAACAACAACAAAAATAACAATTTCTTTCCATTCAAAAAGTTCCACCTTTGAGGCTAAGGTAGCATCAACAAAAATAGCAATTATTTCCATTCAAAAAGAGTCCTATAAGCAATTTGCCATGAACAACAAACATGTAGTAAATGATTGGATTGTATCACTCTAAAATATTTTTCCCAATAATAGAACAAAGAAAGTACACACTCTTCATTTGTGAGTTACCACCACTCCACCTCCTGAAATAAACTACATGCATTTTCATTCAATCAATTATTCAATTTTACAATAGACATAAAAAGAAGTGGTATCCTATTTACTCCACAAAAGCAAAACAATTAAGAAAAGATCAACATCAACCTCAATAGCAGGAGAAAAAAGGGGCTGTTTACCAAAAGAGATAAGCATGGATCACACTTGACAAATAAACAGAGTTTTCAAACAAGAACAATGTAAAATTTCTATAGTAGTATCAGTAGCTAATTAAACTTAGTAAATAAAAGTAGTAGAATAAAGGAAAAGAGAGCCCTTTTGATTTAGCCTCTGGCAGTCAGCAAAGAAGGAATAGCTGCCAAATTAGGAGTAGTAGCATTCTTATTTGATGCACCTCTTTTCCCATTTGATGACGATGTCTTACTGAAAGCTCTCATTGGACTTGCAAATGCCCATCCCCAAGAACTTCTGTTCCTTCCATGTACAAGCTGCTGTTGTTGTTGTTGTCCCACAGGAGCTATGCCAGATTTCCCATTCATATTTTCCTCAGATGAAACCCAATGAGATGAAGATGATGAAGATGATGATGAAGAAGTTATCATAAAACCACTGAATAGTCCACCACATCTAACTCTTTCTTTGATACAATCTTGCCCTGCCCCTGCTGCTGCTGCTGCACCACTGTTTCTGTGATGAATTTTAGACTTGTTATTGCCTTCTCTTTGAGACTCAACTCTTCTCAAAGTACAATCTCCAAAACCAGTTGAGATTCTTTCAAAAAAATCACCTGAAAAGCTTCTGCTTCCACAGCCAACAGATCTAGATCTAGATACTTTTCTATCAACTGCAGGACTACTCTCATTTTCATTCTCCTCCACCACAACAAACTCTTCTTCTTTCTTCTTTGACCTCATAGAACCATTCCCAACTGAAGGAAAAGTCATGTTTCTTTCAGTTTTCTTGGAATGCTGCTGCTTAGAAGAAGATGAGTAGTAGAGAAATGACCAGAACCTTCTCCTGTGAGGAGTATTATAGTCTTCTTCTTCTTCATTCAAGAAATGCATACCATTTCTAGGAATTGTTGTAGACTTGCTTCTCTTCATAGTAGCAATAACACTACCATTACTATTACCATCTTTTTTCTTCTTGTTATAATGGCTACTCAAGAGAAAAGGCATTCTTGATTTCCTCATTTTCCCATAGTGATTATTACAAACATTTGTTTGGTTCTTGTTGTTGGTTTGGTTGGTTTGGAGTGATGGTAGAGTTGAGGTAGTAGTAGTAGTAGTAGTAGTAGTAGTAGTGGAAGTGGTAGGTACACCAAAATGATCAGATCTAAAAGAAGGTGTAGAAGAAGAGGAAGAAGAAGGGAAAATGGCAGAAGGAAAAGAGGAAGAAACAAGTTTTCCAAGCTTTTCTTGAAGGCAAAAAGCACAGATCCCACCTGGGGTATTGTTCTTGTAAGGATGATTTGTACATATCATATTACCATCACCCATGTCTTCTTCAATCCCTTCCATCACCATTGCAGCTTAACTAACTCTGTTTCTGCTCTGTTATTTTCTATACATTACTTGTCTTGTTCTTGCTGAAAACAACTACTACTAGAGCCTCCTTAATAACTTGAAGAAAGGATTAAACAAGAGAAGAAGAAGTAGGCAAAAATGGTCAAATGGTGGTGTAAATGAAAGCAATACAGAAAATAGAAGAGAAGTTATGGCATTGAAGGAAGGAAGAAATGGTAGTCCCCAGGAGCACGTGCCAACCTGACTAACTGATATAATTAAAACTGATCAAACAAGACAAGAGGAACCCCTACGACCTATTACTGCTATACATGTACGTATAAAAATAATAATTTTATATATGTATCAACGTATTATACCATTTGGGTTCATATCCTGGCCATCAACTACTGAGCTATCGTTTGGCCTAAATTTTCAAATATTCGTGGCAATCATATTGGAGTGAAGTTTTTGGTCAAGTTTCATCATGTGTTCTCCAAATTTTCTCATCTTTTTATGGAAACTAATGGAGAAATATAGAAAAAGAAAATCTTTTTCGATTCTTCTTCTATATAAGTGAATAGATCTTTGTGATTCAATCAATTTGATTCTCGTTCTCACCCTCGGCGAACTCCCTTTAAGGACAGAAGCGCATCCAACTCATTTATCTATCGCGTAGGTAAAGTGTTTACTGGTCCGCCGAGCGAGACCTCTTGTACTCCTTCTTTCGCTGATTAAGAGCCGGATGAGAATCCTCTCAAATCCTCGAATGAGAACTTCCCTTAAGGAAGGAAGAATCAATTTCCTAAATGGTCACCCAAGTTTAGGGAACTGCCTTGAAATATCATTTATGTTTCATTTAAGACCAAAATATCACTCAACTATCACTATTTTCCTCCAAATATACTTGACACTTCAAAAGCCTCACTCTCTCCCATTGGCATGACATGTCATTAAAGTCATTTTTTTTAATAATAGGCTTAATAATTTATTAAACTCATTTAACTAAAATAATGATCTTATTATTTTCTAATATATATATTAGTTTATTAAGAAGAAATTTTCATACTTAATAATCTTTTATCACAATTAAATTTTTTATTTTTTTATGCTGTGAAGAATAGTTTTTTAAAACTTACCATAAAGTCATCAATTTTGAATAATTATGAGAAAATATATTCAAAAAATATTGATATATAAATCACTTATGAATGTCAACTTACATCAATGAATCATATATTATATAATGGATCAATAATATTGAAGGTCTATTAACTATTAAAAAATAATTAATTGGGTGCTTTGAAATCCATATATACTTACAATATCTTTCTTTGAAAAGAAAATAGAAAGTGAATAATATTTATATTAGAAAATAAAATTTTGATCTTTATTTATCAACATATTAATCTCATATAATATGTATATTATTGAATTAAAATAGGCAATTCAATTAATTATTACTTGTATTTCATGAATTTGGGATGATATAAGAATATATATTGGTGCTTAACTGTATGAGAAGTTAAAATATAATATAATATAGAATAAACGAATAAAAATAAAAATAAAATTAAAAATAAGTTAAATAATAATTTTCCCTTTCATACCGACTCTTTTGCCAACCTTACAAATTTATTTGAATACTTTTATAAAAAAAATTCCTTAAAATTTTCAAAAAATTTACTTAGGAATTTTAAAAATTACCAGGTAATAATTGCACA